GAGTATTAGAGGGTTGTTTCTTTTTCTTGTAATATTGAGCGTGTAAGCTCTTCTCTTTTGTTCTAGTTTGAATAAAAGTGTGTTTCAACCCCAACAAAGGAAAGAGACATTCAAGCAGGGTTGTGCCAATGGGTGGGGCAACATGGACGATTGCTCCTGCCAATGGGTGGTGCGGATGATAGCTCAGGGCCTTCAATTTTTTAGGGCCTCATTTTTTTACAAATCCTATAATTATATATTATAGAGATATATTTTTTGCCTTATGTGCTACTGCAATAGATTTAGATTAGAAGCAAAAAGCGTCAAAAATGGAACTAATTGGAGCCAAGTTCATCGGGAATGCTAAATTTTTTATTTTCAATCCTATACCTTATCGGCTCTCAAATGATACGTGGATAAATTTACGAAAAAATTGATACTTCTAATGTTAATTGTACCAATGAGAATGAAATGACATGAATGTGACTATTAACATCCCAGGAGCCGGGTTTCTTTATCAACTTTTTATTACTGGAAAGGGTCTCATTTTTATTTCTCCCCGGGTCTCAAATCGGTTTGGACCGGCCCTGCCTTCAAGAGGTGGTGGCGGTGGTGTTAGTGTTGGTAGTGGTGCACTTATGATGATCTGAAGTTTTTTTTTTTTTTTTGAAACACAAAAAAAGAAATGGTAACAGTTAACAAGATTACTAGGTAATAATCTAGATAGAGGTATAAGTAAAAATTCTATATAAATTGGAAACAAAATGAAATCCTTTGAATTCATCATGGGTTTTATAGATTGGTCTTATTTTGAAACTTTGGTACATAAGTACAAATGCTAGGTAATAATCTAGATAGAGGTATAAGTAAAAATTCTATATAAATTGGAAACAAAATGAAATCCTTTGAATTCATATGTATTGAAAATGATGCTCTGACAACTTTAGAAGGAACTATATATAAGTATAAATTAAGTACATATGGAAATGGTAGGTAATAATCTACAGTGATAGCATGTACCTTGAGCTGGAAATGGTCCAGACATTGGATTCTCGCTAAGATCCAAGCTTGTAAGTGATGAAAGGGTGTTTAAAGATGTTATGATATTTTCGTTAAATCCACTGAACCTAAGATTTAAAATTTTCAACTTCCTCAATATGGAAACCCTCTCAGAACCTGCATTATTTCACGAATTCAAGCAATCAAATTTACAAGTATGTATTTATTAATTCGTCCTTGCAATTTTTCTTTGTCCCAAGAAAAGAAAAAGGCCCATATTTCAAACTTCAACACATGAGAGTCATTCTGTTTTGGTCATGTAATGCTGCACACGGGGGATTTTTGTATGAATTCAAGGAGACTGACTATATGGCCAATTGCATGATGGTTTTATGATGATATTAATTAATTACCTTGAATCTCGAAGGTACCATTGAAGGGACAGATGCTTAGATCCAACATCTCCAAGTTCTCTAAGGCAGCAAATTCTGCAATTCGTTTGAATATTTAAAACAGGCATTTGTGCATGATAACTTAAAGAAGAAATGAAAAGACAAAAACATGCCACTGATGGGGAAGTTTCCATTCAAGTTAGTGCTCCCAAGAACCAAGATTTTGAGTGAAGAAAGTGTCTTCAATGCTGGAAGGATGCCGTTGTCAATATCATCATTCCAACTGAGGTCTAGCACTTCCAACTTCTTCAAACTCGACAATCTTTCAAGTCCTGCATGCAAAAGAGAAAATTCTTTAACAAAGGCATCCTAGTCTTTTGATATTGAAAAGGACAACTTTTTGAGCACAATCGTTAAAAAAATACTAAAAAGTTGTATGTAGCATGAATTGCAGGATTTGAATTACACATAAAGACTTGTGTTTGGACTTTGGTCTTTTATATATAGCAAAATATTATCCAACTATCAAGTTACCTACCTAGAAAGCGTCTTTGAGAGCCTACAATAGTTGGATGTTGTGTTCATGAATTTAATGAGAGTCAGTTTACTAGAATGTCTTGCATAAAAAATTTGTTGGAACCAAATACTAAAGCAACTAATCATGTTGTACCTGTCTTCACAACCTCTTTATCAAGAAAATCATATGACAGATTGAGACTTTTTAATTCTTTAAAATGAAGAAACAGGGAAAAATTCAATGGCCAAAACTTGCTTCGAGACTCTATGTAAAGGTTTATCGCCCCTCTCAAATTGTACAAAGAAAGCTCTATGACATGTCCGGTGGTTGTGTTGCAGTTGACCCTCTCCCAATCACAACAGTTGCCACCACCATTTCTAGGGGTATTACTGCCATAATCAACCCAAGTAGGGAGAAAATGGTCCATCTTGGAATCATATGACTTCCTATGTGAGGCTTTTATTTCCAGTAGTGCATTTCTCTCCTCTTCTATACAATACCCTTGTGTTTGCCTGACCATAAGAATATGCATCATCATCAAAACCAACGACCAATATAACAATGGTTTACACTTACTACAAACCCAACACTCCATTTTAGTAGCTGATGGTGGCTTTGTAGACGCTCACAATATTAAACTTTCTGTTAGGTTCGGTTTTGCTTAGCTTTGCATGGAAAACATTTGATATGTGATGAAATAAATATGTACGAATATTAATTACTTAAGTCTCCCCCAGTCTGAATACACTCCCAAAAATTTACGGCACCACAATTGTGGACTTTTTCAACGAAATTCTAAGTCTCCATTCACATAGAATATGATTGCCCTATTATTATTTTTTTTGGAATTACTTATAAAAACAAAAATATTTACTAACTCCACATTAACAGTATAACAATCATACCAATTACACAATTTCCATTCAATTTTACTGAAGTAAATAAACAAACCTAAGAAAAATTTGACAAGGAGAATAATGAATGGTGTAATTGATAGATATTTTTATTTAGGCATTTATATTAAAAAAACAAACCTAAGAACAATTTGACAAGGAGAATAATGAATGGTGTAATTGATAGATATTCTTATTTAGGCATTTATATTAAAAAAGAGATCAGTACAATTTACTTTTTATACATTTTGCTTTTGTTTTATGTAATTCTTATACTCCCTTCTGCATTTCAAGTTTACTTTTCTCAAAAAGGCCATTTAAAACTTTCAGCTCTTGCATTGGTACCCAACAATATTTATAATTTAACAGCTGGTTAATAGGTAAACTGATTTACCATGAATCTAATAGGTAATAAATTTTGAAGAATAAACAAAAGCAGGAAGGGTCCAATATTAAGAAAGTTTCGTATCAACTGACACATTTGTAATAATTTACCACAAAATAGTCGAAGTTATTTTGAAACATAAAGATTGAAATTTTAAATAAAATTTCTGAGGGCCACTATATAAGTAAAAGCTGAATTCTCTTTTGGGATACAAGTTTATGTAGTTTATACAATATTATATTCAGTTGTCCACACTTCCCCATCCACATCTCCTCATTTTCTAACACTTTATGCTGGCTGATGGAACTTCTGTGGTGACGATAAAATCAAATGTGAAAAGTGATGATGATCTGAAATGACCGTTTTTTTTTTTCAAATAAATCCCCACAAACAATATATGTGGAACTACACAACACAATTTGTACTGGGTACATTAGCGCTACCCAATCTATATCTTTATACATGAAT